GAAACCCAAGGAGGGGTCGCTATGAGTCGGGGCCGACTCGACGGCACATAACAACAACAACAACAACAACAACAACAACTTATTCACAACAATTTTCAGTAATCAGCTGTGTAGATAAATTGTCTTTTGTTGTAGTTTTACTTATTAGATCAAATAATATAAATCTTATGATTAGTGCCGTTAGTATTATCGAATGCCATTATTCACCATATTTTACACAAGTAGACCTCTCAGATACATTTTTAAAATTTTATGTGGAGCTGATTACATATAGCCTATGTAGACTCAAAATTCTTGACTTTTGCTTCCTCATACAAAGGTAGGCAAAGATATTTCAAGATATTTTGTGACTTGATGATGATAACAATTAATGGTAACAGTAATAATAATAATGACCACTTGTATATAATGCTTCCTGGTTCAAATCTTAATATTTGTAAGGCTTTTCTGAGATCCCTAACACTAGTACTCTGTCTTTTATAACCATTTACAGTTAATGTAGTACTTTCTTAGGTTTTATATCATTAATTTTTCACAGTGACTCTGAAATAGGTGAGATAGACTAGTATAACAGCTAATGAGACTGAAGTTAGATGATTTGCTAAGGATTGTATAACTAGTTGGCAGTAGAATCAAAGTTTGAACCTAAGTTCTTACTCTTAAGTTTATGCAAGAGAACCATAAAGAGTGAGTTATGTGTTCCTGGACATCAGTGGTTTTCACCAAAGGATGATTTTATCCTCCAGGAGACATTGACAAGGTGTGTAGACATTTTTGGTTGTCATAACTGGGGGCAGTGCTACTGGCGTCCAGTGGCTAGAGGCCAGGAAAGCTGGTAAACATCCTACAATGAACAGGGCAGTCCCTCATGACAAAGAATTATTTGGACCAAAATGTCAGGAGTGCCAAGGCTGAAAATCCTGCTGTACACTGACCATTAATGACACAGGGCAAAGATGGTGAAATTTTAGTTGGTGGATTTTTGTTGATAAGCAGCAGATTTGCTCCCAATGTTCAGTTTCTCCACATCTTCAACTTCTCAGATTCAGGCTGTAAAACACAACAGCCACCTGCTAAGCAAACTTTAAAACCTGAATCAAGAGAAGTTGAAGGTGTGAAGAAATTGAAGATGGGGGTAAAACTACTGCTTAACAGTAAAATCATTCAAAGAAAGAGTCCTGTTTAAAGGCCTTATGTTCACTGATTCTTTCCCTCACCAGGTTGTTTCCCAGGGGGTGTGCACTGGGTGTCAATTGGGAAACAAGATAAATCTGGGCTTCTGATGAAACTGCAGAATCTTTGCGCACGGTTGGATCAGGATGGCAGTTTCTCCCAGAGGCTTCCACTTAATATTGAAGAGGCTAAAGACCGTCTTCGTATTCTGATGCTGCGCAAACACCCAAGGTATTGCTGCTCAGATTTGCTTGGTGTATGAAGTAACAAGGTGGCGTGACTGGGGGCATTTTGAGAACATCATGCCCTTTTTCTGCTGTTCTGTAGAGCCATTACTTAAGAAAGAGCCATTACTTTCTTGCTTTTCGTTTTTTTTTTTAAGTGTGGCTGCCACTTGGCTTAAGATTGCTACCTTTCTTTGCTTTGCATCTTTCTACATAGTGTCTCATACATACCATTGTAGGCTTTAAAGAACTATTCCTTGAATAGATGAGTGTTGTTGTTGTTGTTATGTGCCGTCGAGTCGGACC